CTCCAGTCATGCAAGCTCCCACCAAGGCCCTGTTATTCCAATCAGGTCATAGTTTCATAGTTGGTAGGGTCGGAAGGGACCTGAGCAGATCATCGAGTCCGATCCCCTGCCATGGCAGGAAAGAGTACTGGGGTCAAACGACCCCAGCAAGGTGTTCAACTAGCCTCCTCTTCAAGACCCCCAGCACCACTTCTCTTGGAAGTTGGTTCCAGATCCTAGCCACCCTAACCGTGAAGTAGCTCTGTGACTGCAAAGACTTCTAGTTCTTCCTGCTCATTTCCCAGGCTCCATGCATTTGTGTACAGGCACCTGAGGTAACTAGTTAATTGACCTGATTTTGCAGGAAGTATGAGAGCACCTCCCCTTCTGCCCCCTCCTGCTTGCTCTTCCTCCAGGGCTCCTGCTTCCCCACTTACCTCAGGGCTTCCATACCGCAGTGAGCCTAGTTTAAAGACCTCCTCACTAAGTTAGCGAACCTGTCTGTGAAGACGCTCTTCCCTCTGTCAGGTGGATCCCATCTCTTCCCAGCAATCCTTCTTGGAAGAACATCCTGTGGTTGAAGAAGCCAAAGCCCTGCTGGTGACAACACCTGCACAGCCAAGTGTTGATCTGCAGGATGCACCTGCCCGGGCTCCTTCTCTTGACCGGAAGGATCAACAAGAACACAACCTGAGCCCCAGAACCCCTCACCCTTTTACCCAGAGCCCTGCAGTCACTTTTCATCTGCTCAGGGTCTCACCTGGCAGTATCACTGGTGCCCACATAGATGAGCAATGTGGAGTAGTGGTCAGAGGGCCAGATGACCCTCGGTAGCCCCTCCATGGCATCTTGGATACGGGCAAGCAGCAGACCTCCCGAGACAACAGGTCAGGTCAGCAGATGGCTCCCTCCATCCCCTGCAAAAGGAAGTCTCTAACCACCACCACCCGTCGCTTCTTCTTGGTGGTGGTCATCTCAGCCCTTCCACCGTGGTGAAGCCTGGCCTGTCTTCCTTTACCAATAGAACATGCTCCTCCCTCTGTTGCTAGGGCTGCACATCTCTCCTCCAGACGAACCACTGCAGGTGCAGGTAAAGATCTCTGCTTGCTGCCAGAATCACAAGCCTCCAGCATTCACCTTCTTGGGTGTCCATGTCCTCTCCCTTCTCTAGTGCTGCCTCTGGCATTTCTTTCTCCACAGTCCCAGACATCTCCTCCAGCATCAAATCAATGAACTCCTCATGGAGGAGGATGCTTCAGAGCCTTGCCACCTCCTCCTGTAGCTCTCTTGCCTGTTCCCTGAGAGACACCACCAGGAGGCACTGCTCACACCACAGGCACCCCCCCATCCTGGCAGTTACTGGAAGGAACGTTCACAAGCCACAGTCCCCACACCGCCAAACCTGGACCTGGGTGGAAGCATCTAAGGTAAGTGGTCCTGCCTGGACAGAAACCTCACAGGTGCAAGCTGAGGCATTTGCACAGCTCAAGACAAATCATGTAGGAGAAACTCTTAACACTCTGGACACCATTAGCTATTTCCTCTATTTCCCGCCAGAAGTTACACATGTTCTAAGCTGCTCTGCTTGTCCATCATGTCCATCTTTCTATCACCCCTAACATTACATATAGCGCTGTAGCTGGCTTGGGTATTAAGTTTCATAATTAAATGCCTTTCATAGTCCATAAGCACGTTCAACTATTATTTTTGAATATATGCACTCTTAACTAGGCAGCATGACAACATTTTGATCCCCAGTTTCCATTTAATATCAAACAATTGGGAAACACAGAAATTAAAAAATGCTAAGAATGTCTTGAATGGTATAATGTGATTCTTAAAAACACAGTAATCAAGAGTAAAAGAGAATGAGTTAGGCCAGAAAGTGAAGGAAGATGTATGTGAAAGACAATGTGAATGGTTTTGCCAATGCACCTGAATCACAAACTACCTTGGGTTCCTATTCACCAGAAACAGCCATGGGTGGATCCAGGATGTTGTAAAGTGGGGTGTGAGAGAAGTGACCGGTATGGCTGGGTTCCTGTTCCCACCTTCCCCCCACAACCTCTAGTGGGACAGGCACACCATGCCACAAGAGCCCCTTCTTGAAGTCCCCAAATCATGCAAGAATCCTCACATCCTCACTCTTGGCACTCCTTCCTCCTTCTGCTCCCCCTATGCTCAGCATCCTGCACCCTTCCCCTCCCTTTTGCTTCCTCCCCTACCTGCTTCTGCTGCTGTCCCCAGCTGCCCCAGGAGTGCGGGGAGCTCCAGAACTGCTTCTGCCCAGCTCTAGCTGGGCCAAGTAGGGAGCTGGACTCAGCTGGGGACAGCAGCAGTGGGGGCAGGCAGGTTTCCTCCTACCTAAGCCTGTTCCCAGGCTGGTGGGGAAACACCTAGAAGGGAGGGAAAAGATCAAGAAGGAAGAAGAACCCATCCACTGCTGCTGCTGCCGTCCTAGGCTGAACCCAGCACCTTGCACAGCCCAGCTGGAGCGCAGCAAGAGTAGCTCTGGAGGTCCTTCCACCCCACAGCAGCCAGAGACAACAGCAGTGATGGGTGGTGGGGCAGGGGTGTGCCACTGAGTACAGAGGGGAAGGGAGGGGGGAATTCTTACCTGATCTGGGGACTAAGTCCCTGGGTGCTGCTCCCATGGTGTGGTCTGAAAGGGAGGTGCACTCACCTCTGGTAACAGCCCATCAATTCAACTGTCTTGATAAGAAATGGGCCAACATTAACTACACAGTCACTTGTGGCCTAGAATTACCAATATTTTTTTGACTGTCTGACATCACAACTGGGCCACAATATTAACTACCACTAGGATCTGAACTCTTCAATACTGGTTCCAGTCTTCCATAGCTAATAAGGGTGCAGAGTATTACGAGTTCAATATTTTTTTACTCCAACTTACTTGCTTACTTCTGTTCACTCCTATCCCCAACCCATTTTCAACTTCTACAAGACTGATACCTCCTACTGCTTTCCAACCTGAGCCCCTGGATATACATGGTTTGAAACACTCCAAATGCCTTGGAAATGCTCCAACCAGCAATCATACAGATGAAAGAGTGAAACATGGGGGAGGGGGGACGATACACATCAGAAGACTGAGCAAACCCCACCCCCTTATTGCATCACCTGGCTAGTGAACAATGCTACTGTGTGCAATCACAGAAATTCTGAAGTACTCTGAGAAAAAAAAAAAAAAAAA